AACCAATTCGAATTTCTCTCTTTTTCTGCCTCCCTCTCTCTCTCTCCCTGATTCGCGGCGCCGACGATTAATTTGTCACGACGTCCGGGCACAACAATTTCAACTGTCTGCAGTCGGTGCCATGATATCCGTGTGGCGTGCCGCTCACAACCGGTTCATTAATGCTGCAGCCGCTCGTCACTCATTGGCTGCCACGGGTTGCCAGCGATCGTGATGTTTGCGATAGGAAAAAAAAAAGGAAAGAAAGAAGGAGGAGAGACGATCGAAATGGGGGGGAAAGGGGTGGCGGGAGGGGGGGCGGCGAGAAAACGAAGGGAAGAACGATACACGGGCGATACATTTGACGCGAGTGTTTCACCTTTCAATCATTATTATTGCGAACGCCGATCGCCTCGGAGGATCGCTGGACCGGGGTGAGCAAGTTGACGGACAATTAGGATATTAATGATGCGTGACGGCCTGGGAAAGTCGAAAAAAAAGTGTTGCGAGCGTCGATGCTCGCGTTCAGAACCCCGTACGTTCGATTTCGTCTTGGACGTTGATTCTCGACATTGTGTCTCGATGATCGTTTTAAAATCTGTTATTTCCTTTTTTGTGGGAGGGGACGAAGTATGACGGTAGCATAATAGGAGGATCGTTAAGTTCGAGGCTGCCTAGATTTTTCTCGGGGAACGTTAATGATTGCTTTCTCGATTAGTTCGAATGCATGCTTAAAATGTTTTTACGAAAAATGGAATAAATCGGGAGGACATCTTGAAGTACTGCTGAAAGAAACGTGAATTGCTGTCATTAGATTTTTTTTATTGCAATCAGTTTTGATTATGGTGTGTGTGATGGAAGAAGGGATGATTTGGAATGAGGAAATCCAATTGAATTTTTAACCAGAATACTATATAGTAATTTTTAACGAAGGAATACTACAATATATAGTAACGAAAGCTAGTCGGCACTGCGAGCTGATCGTCTTCAGTTTCTAGAACGTAACTACCTATGCATACCGGTGATCTGGTCGTCCCAAAGAGTGACGCTATTCTTTACGTTTGCATACACGCGTACATACGCGGATAAAAGAGCGATTACTTCAAGGACTGCAATCTTGTTGCGATCGTAGTAACGAGCCCCTGTTCTCACCAGTTTCGCGGCTAGTCGGTTGGAAAATTATATATCGTCAAAGGAATCGTGCACACTAGCTATTAAGTGTAAAAGTTAATTCGTGTCCCCCAGAATTAATTATTGACTCAAAAACGTCACCATTTTTTCGAGAAGGGATTCGCCAACTGTCCGAGAAATGGCGTAAATGTGCCGAAAGTGATTGTGTTTTTGTAAAGAAACAACAAATCTATAAAAAAAGATCAGGAATTAATTTATACACCAAATAGGTTCATTCGTCTTGCCATCTTTTTTTCTCTGCTTTGCGAACATACGATTAAAACTGCCACAATCGATGCAGATGCTTTCTGTTTAGGCCTCATTTCAACAACTTCTCCATATAATGCCGTTGATTCTCAGTTGGTTCGAATGTGAAACTGAGGGAATATTAATTATAGAATTCCGAGAACTGACGGAAGATCTCCCGTCTACTTAATTTCCCGCGGATTCGATTCTGAGGAGTAGGTATCAGTTATCTGGCTGGCCTTTTAGGGACGGGCCGTCTTTACGACTCAATCTCCGGCTGGGTAATGGGACTTATCGTTTTGAAAGCTAGTTTCGGCGGGAAAAGTCCTCTGGCCCCGTTCCACTGGTTACGTAAAGCGACCGCCTGTAATAGCGATACCGTAATGAATATTAAATACCGTAATTGCGCCGAAATGTTGAGAACCGGTAATAGCGAGATTGGAAATTCTTCCGGGACCTCTCGAGAGCCACTCGAAACTTATGGAATTTTAGCGTCCGTCTTGTTGGCGATCCGCTTTGTTAACACTAGAATTACCGACAATAAAATTATATCTACTTCGATCGGTCAAAAAACGTGAAACACTATTGAAAATTTACAAATTTATAAATTAATTGCTTTTTTCACTTTCGTATCATAATAAAAGATCTCCAAAACGTAGCAAAATAAAGATTCCAGTAAAATTTAATATTATTTATACATTATCGTTAACATATTAAAACCTATGGTATACAACAGAAATTTCTGTGCAATTTTGTATTTGCTATATTAGTGTCAAAAATTGTAAGTGTATTGACTAGTCATTTTGACTTGATTGGTAGTTCTAGTGTTAAATACATTATTGTGAATTCATTTGAAGATTTTAACGTTGAAATGAATTCTGAACGAAATGAATATACTGGTCTGATATCGAGTTAATTACGTAGTTTCTTATATTCTTGAAATCCTCGATTTTATGATGGTTGAAGTAAATTGACGTTAAAAATTGTTCTTCTTTCTTTTTTACGATTTTTTGGAGTGTTCTTGCTCGAGTACGGATATACAGTTCGTCGGCGTTATATTTCCCCACACGAAAGAGGGAACGTTAGCCCCGCAGAACACGGGGGATTTATCGGACTCGCGGCGACGCGACGATACATTCAACCCGAACCGGTCTTCCGCGTGGTACACGGCTCTTAATTAATTTGTCATTATTTAAGGAAGACGTCCCGTGATAAAATTTACCGACGTCGCGAAGCCTTCCATCGTATTTCTCGCTTGTCGTTCATCCTTCAATCGTATCGATATCCTTCGGACAACCGAACACCTGGCATCTGGCGAAGGGGTGGGGGAAAAAGACGAACACAACGGTTGTCCATTCATCATTTTGATTTTTCTTTCAACTTCCTCGCAGAAGTCGAAACTCCTTTGACTACCTAAATATCATTCCTTCTGTTGTTATATATAATTCAAGATTTACGGTTCTTCATAAGTATAATGTATTCTGTTAAATTTGATGAGAAAAGGAGATTGAACTTTTGACTTCCCATCCTTAGTGGACAGTGATATCGCTTCGCTATACGTTGAAATCACCAGAGATAGATCTGAATATGCTGCCTTCCAGAAAACCAGCCGAATATATTTATCTTCATTTTCCACGTAATGCACGAAACATCTACTACATGAAAACACTATAATTTAAACTGATTATAAGCTTCAGACATTGCGTTGTACTTTATCAACAGCATCTCACACAGTTTCCATTTCTTCTGCAAATACCTCATCTTCTCAAATGTTTCATCTTCATCTTCCCTGTGTCGTGACTGTCGTTAAAGGTGAATTTAGTCTTCGCACTTTGGATCTGCAACGTTGACGATTCAACCACACTGAAAGGTGTAAAGACTGTTTCCATCTACATTTCATGCAAAGTGAACATTCGAAGTAACCCAATGAACAAATTAAAGCCAATACTCCACTTCTGACGAGTCGAATGGATCGTGGATGAAACATTCGCGTTGCACATCCAAAAAGTAAAAGTGTGGATTCACCTTAAGTGTTTCACAGCCGGAAAATCATCAAACATAAATCCCATCGCGCGAAATTATTTCGTGTCCGGCCGAGTTTAAGAAAGTGAAAAATCGGTGGCGCGCGTGTGGCGTGCGCAAGGGCGGCGCTTCTTTATTTATTCTTTGAACGCATGAAAAAAACGGAACCTCGTTAATTCGAAGCGGGCACGTTTACGCGCGTCTTCGGGGTTCACCGGCAGGCGTGTACCTACACGGGGTTCGGTTCCCGCGCGGCCGGATGAAATTAATACGTGGCCGGCACCGTAATTAGCGCTCGTATTTATGCGCCACGCTTGCGAGGCGGGCTCCGTTAACATGGTAATGGCGTTACACCGCTGTAAACACGACATGTTATCTCGACCGATCCAAACCGAGATTCGCGCAAGAAATGGCGGATCGGGATGCAGCTGCTTCGCTTGGTGACGGAAGCTCGTGTATCAAAACAAATCCCTATTCGTTTCCTGCAGAAATCGTTAAAATTTTCATCGGGGAAACAAATTTCTTTGGTATTTGAGAATGATTCTCCTTTTTATGATGGAAGCAATGGATTATCGAAATGTTATATGATACAATTTTTCATTTCCGTAATGATCCACAGATGGTTCATTCCTGGATAGCACATGACGCCTTGAAGACGCCCATTTGTCGGCTGTTTTAGGTCTAAGGCGCCTTTAAGACTTTTAGACTTTTTTCTACATAACATAATGACTGTATTGCATATGTAGATTTGAGTGGTAGAGAAGTAAGAGTTAGGAAAGCTGAGTAGATTTGGAGATTGGTGAAGCAGTGTGCAAGTCTGGTAGAAAATGTCGAATGAGATAGAACGTTGTTCAGTGTGGTTTAGTAATATAATAGTGTGCAATCGCACATTAGCGCAGTAATATGCTAGAGTAATTACACTAACGGCCAAAAGTATGGGACCAGGGTTCATGATTGATGGAACAGTAACTCATTATTGCGATATAATAAAAGTTACGGAATCAGTACATATAGAAATCATTTCTAATTAGTTTTATTACATTACTTTTATCAAATATTTCTAGAATAATATTTTTCACTTTCTTTAATTATCAGACTTGGTCCTGTAGACCGTAATCCTAGACATATTATTCTATATATTTAATTAAGTATATTTTAATTGATATTACACTTCGCTAGTCTTTATTACTTCCAATCTCACACATACATGGGGCTAGTTTGTCCAAGAACAATTAGGCGATCCAGAGTCGAGTCGTTTATTTTCCCGCTATTTGACACACGAAGAACGTCTTGTGGTTACACTCATGATGTAAAGCGATAAGGTATTTTCTAAATATTGGAATTTTTTAATTCTCGATTTTAGTTCACACGGGATCCCGTAGGGAGCGAAGAGGAGGCCGGTGGTCCCGGTTTACAGTGATCCAGTGAATCCCGCGGCGGCACGAACGAAATTGTTCAACGACGGACGGAGGAGGTTGTACGACACGCGCGCAAAATGTCGGCCCGTGGCGTCAGACACGGAACAACAGACGGCACGAGGGACCGGCGCGAACCGTTTACATCGGGAGATTAAAGAACATCGAATGGACGTGGGCGATTTGTCGAGCTCGGCAGGTTTGGCTGGGAGCGGATCCATCCCTGGTGCAACGGGTGTTGGTATCATTACAAGTACGACATCCGCCACCGCAGGGTGGTGGACGCCTACGTCGACGATCGCCTCGGCAGCGGCCAACACCGACGTGGTGAGCTCCTTTTGGACCCTTTTTTTTTTCTTTCGTATTTCGTTCGTTTCGAACCGAGATTCTTGACACGTTCCATCGGATCCACTTTGAATGAAGATTTTGATCAATTCGTAAACTATTGGGTCGTTCGGAACGTTCGTAGGATTTTGAGCGCAGTGTCTTTGATGCACTTGTACTGAACGAAAAATTATTTGATCTGGTTGACAGATACTATTTTCTAGGCGTGAATCGAATGTATGTATTTGCTATGTAAATTACTTGTTCCACTGTTTTTGTTCTTTGTTAGAAATACTGATGAAACGTATGAAAATGCACGAAGTCCATTTTCATTAGGTCTTCTTAAATTAGTTAAGAAATTACATTATTTTTATTGGAAAATTTTATAGTTTCTACTTGATTAATTAGACTTTGCCATATCTGGTGATTATTCCTTCAAATTGCTGGAATATTTTGTATCGAAGAAAAACTTCGAGATCTCCTAAAAAAAAAATGTCCATCGACTGCGTTGAACTACGTCAGGTTGCAGAGACGAATCATCGGCCGTGTAACGCCGTATGAAAAAGATCCCTCCCCACCCCGGCTGGCATGGTACTTTCATTTCTTCGTCGAGTGCCATTCGTCATCGGCATTACCTTCGCGCGTTACTTAATGAGACGTCTCCGCGGTTGCGGGTGTGCGATTAAGCGGCCGAGAAGGGTCGAATCGCGGGTATATACCGGAGGAGGTGGAACAGGAGAGCGTGGATAGGTCCATACAGTGGAGACGGAGAAGAAACATCGACGAGAAAGAGTGAGATCCATCGGGACACGGGGAAACATTATTTAGTTCCGTTGGAGTGCAGCGGCTGAGTACAGAGATTAGAACCGAGGTGACACAGCTGCGTCATCTGTTGGACGTTTAATCATTTTTTATCGTTCGCCGGGGTGCGCTTTTGCGGCTGTTCCCACAACAAGCCATAGGACATTTTGGCCCTAGTTTACTTTGGTATTCGTGAAACAATTTTTTGAGACGCGTCGATGGGGATTTGTTATTCGTTTGGTTTTTCTTGATGGCGATTGTTCAGTGCAGGGTCCAGTAATTGATAGAGGATTTGATGGTTGAACATGAGGTTGGAGATATCTATACCTCATTCGACGAGTCCAGTTAGTAGCTACGAACAAATGGAGGTGATGACCATTTAGGTGGAATGGGGACAGAGACGGTTGCCAGGCAATAGTTGGGCCTTGCTGGCGAATGTTTTGGTTATGTTTACTGATTTGTTTCGTTGGCTGGACCAAAGTTGCCTGCTCTTATTTTAGTATTTCTGTTTATCTATATAATAAGGAATAATAATTTGGTTCTATAACATATGACAATATAATAAAACGAGATTAATAAAAGAATAATAAAAAACCAGAATGGAGACAGTACAACAGGAACTATAACGTGCGTCGGATACGACCAGAATCTTACTGTTAGAGGGTTAAAACCATTTAAGACGAGTACCTATACACGACTTTTATCCTGCGTTTCCTCTCGAACACACCGATCAAGAGACTTCTTTCAGAAATGACTTTTTACCGAAGTGCATAACGCCGTTCACCTTTCAAATTACAAGAGCCACTTCATAACTCCTCGTCGACTCGCCTTTAGAACGGAACGGAGAAAAGCAAAATTCTCCAAAATATTTCGACACATCCATCTCGACCTCTGCCATCTCTGGAACATCTCATCGCAAAGGTTCTCCCTCTCTCTGGCTAGCTGACGTAATATTGTATCGGACGAACGCCCCTTTTAACCATCGACGATCGCTAATCGTTACGAAATCGGCAACTAGAATCGATATACACCCTTCCTGCAACGAAGAATCGAACAACCGTGGGTCTTCGTCTGGAGTCCATGCACGCTCACCCGTCCACCGATTTACCTTTCCCGTTCGGTCATCCTTTCTCATTTGATCGTCGCGATCATCGGCCGTGGCGGATGCTGCTTGCTGCAGCCTGGTTCGCCTGGTAATGACTGGCTAACTAGGTTTTAATAGGAACACGGTCTCGCAACCGAATCCCCTGGATGGTTCTTGCCTGGGCAAGAAACGGTCCTTTTTACCGTTTTCGAGAGCGATATGCGTTCTCCCTCGGCGATTCTCAACCTAGAAAGATCAGAACGTCGAAAGGATCACACTTTCCTTAAATAAACCGTAAAGTTACTGTTTACTACACGTAAAATCAGAAACGTTATCGAATAAAATAACGTTGCTTCGCGATTTATAAATAAACGTTCTACTCGGTCGAGCGTATTTCTGACGATGATTGGCGGCTCGAATCGCACGGTACCCACCGTGTTGCGTATCGACGCGACTGGCCATCGTTCACGGATCCTTATTCCCCCGATCGCCTATAAATCATGCAAAATCATCGAAGTTTTTTTCCGTCTTTTTCTCCCAGTTTCACTCGTTGCAGTCTGGTCGGTCGGCGGCGTTTTAATCGTCCCCGATATTGCGATACACGAGAAAACGACTCACGAGACACGTGTGACTGCGTGTACATGTCGTTACGCTGGAGGTTGTTAAGTGCTCAATGATTAATCCGACGTTACTAAACGCGGTACCCCGGCGACCGTCGTTGAAATAAATCGCGGTTTACCAGCGGGAACACTTGCCACTGCCGCGCTGCTGCTGGTCTAGTCGGACGATATTCCTTTCTTTTTCGTGATCGGACAAGAAATGGTCCCGTCGTGATTGGCATGTATTGCGCGCACGCGCTTCGAGCAGACGGATCGAGAGACGGTCGCGTTCATTGTGAGCGTCTTTGGGTTTCCTTAGTTGAACCGTAACCACATGTCGTCGTCCTTTTTGTTGCAGATGAATCAGCTGTGCAGGGTCTGCGGAGAACCGGCCGCGGGTTTTCACTTTGGAGCCTTCACGTGTGAGGGTTGCAAGGTTGGTATCCATTGATCCCTTTCTTGTAGGAAAAAATCTAAATGTTTTAATCGAAAACAATAGTTGGGAATTTCTAGTGGACGCTTTATACCTTAAATCATTTATGAGTGTTCGAAGGCTCCTTGACACTGAGTGTTTAGACGTCATCTCCACCACTTGGAGGGGGAGTCCCTCGTGGAACCAAAGTGCCCAGTGGTGGGGGATCACACTCATCGATGATTTACTGTTTCAAAAAGTTCTGATTGAATCGGTACTTGTATCACTTTAGAAAAAACCTGAGGTCTCTTAACAACTGCTAATAACATTAATCGATAGAAGGTTAGTCCCACGGAGCCAATATGCATTTACTACTTCTAGTATCCTATTCTAGCCATTGCTAGGATATGATATTTCAATAATTCCTTCAAAACGCAAACTTCAGGCCAAGTTTGTCTCGCGAATACGTTCGTCCAATATACCCTTACCTCCGCGAGTCACACACCTGCCTCTGTTTTCTGTCCCGCAGTCGTTCTTCGGGCGCACCTACAACAATCTCGGCAGCATCTCCGAATGCAAGAACGGTGGTGTGTGCGTGATCAACAAGAAGAACCGCACCGCCTGCAAGGCGTGTCGTCTACGGAAGTGTCTGATGGTGGGCATGTCGAAGTCCGGCTCCCGTTACGGTCGACGCTCGAATTGGTTTAAGATCCACTGTTTGCTGCAGGAGCAATCGCACCAGGCGCAAACGCGTCTGATTAAGGACCCGAAATCCGCCTACGAGAAGGCGTTCGGCTCGTTGGACGTGGCGAACAACAACAACAACAACGAGACTGCTGGCACGACCAGCGCGTCGAACGTGGTCGGTATGGTGACCACGACCACGACGACAGCGAACAGTTACCATCACCATCACCATCATCATCAGCAGGATAGGTATCCGAAGAGGGACGACTCTGTGCTGAGGCCCCAGGATCTACCATCTCAATTAAGGACCCCCGATATGTCGACAAGGGCTGGCCAGGATCCTCTTCTTAGGCCTGTAGACCTGGTTAGAGGTCCCCACGAGCTGCTAAGGCCGGAAGTGTCCAGGTTTCCGATGTGGAGGGGTCCGCCATTCTTCCATCCAGCCTTGACGCACATGCAGCTACTGAACGCGCCCTTCTTCCCGTTCCAACAGCGTTTCATCGTCCCTTACGTGAACCAAGTAGGCGCCTCGCAGATGGTCGCTAGCCTGACCAGTTCCTCCAGTGACAGCGTCAGTCCCCGATCGACGCCATCACCGAAGAGGGAGGAGGACACCAGAAATGCTCGGGAGGATTGCAAGGATCAGGGTGGTTGCCAGAGGGCCCAGGTGGAGGTGGCGTACGACAAAAGTCTAGCGTTCCTGCGATCCCTGGGCCCGGAACAGGACCAGCCAATCGACCTGAGCATGAAGGCTGGCCTGAAGGAGGAGAAAGAGGTGGACCCTGGTAGCACGGAAGAGGAGAGGTCGACGGACAGCGAGGACAACGAGCTACAGGACACTGGGCCGCCGCTCGATCTCACTAGGAAGACATGACCCCGGAGATTGGACGATTCTCGATAGAAAACGAGACTTGCTCCTCGGTAGAGGTGGTTCGTCCGAGATCGTTGTTGCGGGACGTCGATGGTCCCTGCACAGAGAGCTACATTGTTGCCCTTTTAACGGTGACTGGAGGATGAGTTACGACTGAAGTGACTGAGGGGGAGGGGGAGAGAGTGATCCTTCGGAAGAAGATATGGTGGTTGTGAAATGAGAACACTTTCGATCTGAAGAAGACTCGAGGGTCCAGGAGTGATGGGAAGAGTTTTTGGAAGGAGAAACCTGAAGGATTTTATTAAAATGAAGAGTATAATAGTTAGTTCGAAGGAAGATCCGTGCTCGAGAAGGGAAGGATATCCAGCGACAGGAAGTGGATGTCACGAATACGACACATGGATGACTTTACGATCGTTGATCGGATCGACGTTACAATTGCTCAAGTCCTTAGCCAACCGCCGCGGTCCCTTTGGTCAGCCTCGCGCCAGGTGCTCCTCGAAGTGGCCGAAGATCAGCTGTGGATACATCGATCCGTGATGTACGACGGACGTTATTGTGCCTTAACCGGTGCCTTTGAGCTCTCCCAGCCTCGGGTAGAGAAAGAGAGTGCCAGTAAAAAAAGAAGCCACGTGATAGTTTAACGTTAAATAATAACCGCGCTCGCAAGTGCGCGATTCGCTGACGCATCCTCGGCGTAATACGTATATATACATAGATTATATATACACATATATATTTACCTGTGCGTGTGGTGCGTCTGTTCTGTGTGAAAAACGTGTCCAGAGAGCCTGATCGAGATGACCGGAAGTCACTCGACGCTCGGGAATGGCCAGTGTGCTTCGTTCATCCATCATCGAAGATGCTCGCGTCTTATTTATGGTCGAACATTCTTATTTAACACGATCGAATTTAGATCGTCGTTTCGCGCTCGAGATTCATGCACGCATGATCTGTCTCTTTTCGTCGAGGAATCTGAAAAAACGTAACCAAGTCTACCAGCTCTGGATCAAGGGGGGAGAGGCTAGAGGGGGGTATAGCCTCGGGCCCAACTTTCCAGGGGGCCTTGTTCTGAGTTTTTTATTTATATCACAAAATACTTGAATGAAATTTTTTTTACTGTTTCTTATTTGAAATCATTAGGAATTACACTAAATGCAGAAACAAATCAGACGAAAGTTATTAAAATATAACGTAACATTGGTAAAACTACAGTCACCAATAAATAGCGTACAGCGTACCCTCCCCCTGCTTTTCAACCAAGGGGGCCCTCGATGGTTAGTATAGTCCCGAGCCCCAGGAAGTCTTAATCCGAGGCTGGATTAAGACTTCTTGACTTCTCTAATTGGAACGAATTCGTACAAAAATATTCTCGTTAAGAGATCGGCAGACAACGACATAGGAGAAAAAACAATTGGTGGAGAATAAGAGACGTGATCGCGAAGCCGCGTGCGAGTCGGGCCAGGATGTTCGACGAAAATACGAAGATTAAAATAAAGAATATTGTATAGCCGATATGTTGCGTCTTGATCGTCGTTCATTAAATCTCTCTCCTCGATCATCGTTTCCCTTACGCGACCGTCCCGTAATCACGTAGGTGCATACATATACCTATGAACTCGAGATGGTATTCGATTACTTTCGTCTCGCCGCGTCTTTCGCATTCCAAGCCGTCGGCGGCAGCGTAGAGAGCTACGCCGTCGGTGTGTATACGCGAACGATACGCGGTACACGAATCGGTGCTGTCTATCGGGTTATTTATTCCCTAATAAATTCGTTCCTCTTGATGTACTACGCGATACACACGAGTTTCCCCGGATGAATTCCGTTTTAACGCGCGACGCGTCGAACGAACGACGCGCTTCGAAATCTTTCTGAACCGCGTTCGGCGACGAAGCGCCTGGTCTATCGACCTCCAGCTGCCACGCAGACTATTTCACGATAAATAAAACGAACTCGAAGGAACACTTTGGACGTGTTGTCCCTAAGGAGGATCCAACAAAAGTCGTCTCGTGGCGCTAGAACGTTTACTGCTAATTACCTTGGTCTCGAATCGAGGAAATTTCACGGCCTCTCGCGCAATATATTATAACTGGTGATAATTTATGAACGGCGCGCGGCAATGAGGAACTGCAGTCCCGACTACCCAACTCTCGATCCCCGTGGATCGTCAGACGGTATCGCGTTTCTAATGCGACTTCGTAATCTATTCCTCGTAATAACCGCGAGTCTCTTTGTTTTTTTCTCCCGTTGACTCGCGGTGCTTTCCGTATGAGTCCGTTGTATGAACAATTCTGTTAGTTGAGAAGAAAAAGAAATCCTTTCAGGTTTGTTGCAGACCCATGTGTTAAGTATTTTACTCCCAGTGTTGCACCGGTGCAACGCTCGTTTCACAAGTGTGTGAAATTCTGAATGAACTTTTATCAGCAAGGATTCGTAGGATTGATGTGAAGACTTCTTCGCTTCGGGAGCTATCGTATCGCATGAAAACAATGGATTACCATATCATTGTTTCTTTCCCTGGTTATAGAAGGTTTTCCACAATTTCTATCAGTTCTTTTACAATTTCCTTCATTGTTCCCATACGGTACCATTGCTCCCTAGTCACTCGCTATCATCGAAACCAAATATTGTTTATAACTCTGAAAATATTAATCATCCGACCCATGTTCACTAGGACATTACTTCATCATTCCCTGATTTTATCCACCCCAAAACTTATGAACCCTTTTTATGTATCACCCTATATATCAGTCTCATAATTACGAAATAACGATTTAAGAATCAGTGCGTCAAAGGGTTAATACAACAGAATATATTTCCTCTCGATTATATCCTTTCGAACTATAAACTCCACGCGTAAACCGTCCACGTGCGTTTTTGCGTTCTGATATACGCAGGGGGAAAAAATCGTAAAAATCGTGACGTTCTTCAGTGAGCGACGAATTGTCGTTGCAAACGCCTCGATCGTTCGAAGAAGTAACGCTCGCTGGATCGACAGACGTTCCAGCGACGACCGGAGACTTCGACGACCGCACACGCGCGATGGTTCCGCGTGTCTCGTCGCTCTCCACGGGGCCAGTTCTCGAGAGATATGAGAATTCACGAGCAGTGACGGAATCGGGCGGCTCAGCGTTGTTCACCTGCGTCCACCTGCGTGTATTCACGGCACACTCCCGTTTGCCCATAACCCCGGACGTTGAAACGCGCCTGGAACTACAGCCGCGGGATTGTTGACTTAGGTGGGACGAAGAAGCGGGACTACTCCACTCGATGTCCATCGAAACAAGCGCTCTTGTGGTCCCTCTCGCCGTGGTTGGACGCTTCAGGTTTCCGTGGTTTCTGGTTCCACGTGTGCCCTATCTGGCAAGTGGGAAGGGGGAAAAAAGGCACACTGCCAACGCACGATGACGCGTGCGCACGAACCTACTACTCGTGAGGTGGTCCGTGTTCCTGGATTACGTAAAGTTGTCAAACAGACAGTTTTTTTTTCGGGGGGATGGTTTCGGTCCGTTGAAGATGATCGAATGGGTTACGTAATTTCTTGAGTAATACTTTTTCTGGTTGAAGACGTTCGAATAATTTTGGTTGTACAGTGGTATTAATTTAATTGAATAGTATTGTCAGAGTTTAAATATACAGGGTGGAAGAAAGAGTTCATAACTTGTGGGATAGATAGTATGAATGAATGATGATGAAAGAAAGTCAATATAAAAATATTTTCAAAGATGTTGGCGATTTTTTGTTTCGGTTAAAATGACTAATTTTCTCACTGGGGAGCTATTCTTCTTTTCCTGGTTACAGAAGGTTTTCTAAAATTTCTAGTAGTTTTTTTTTCTAATTCCCTTCATTGTTTCCATACGGTACGATAGCTCCGGAACCGAGAGTCACTTGCTTCAACCGAAACAAAGAATTTTGGCCTCCTTTCATCATTTGGCAAGTCCTATCTACCGCAGAAATTATGAACCCTTTTTTGTTTCACACTATATATATTAGTTTATTCTACTGTGTGCAGTAAGTTTGTCTGTCCCTCTGACGCAACCGTCTACTTCATGTACTTTCGTTAAATATATTCGCCTAGTGTAATATTAATTTGCACAGCAGATGCAGATCTGCCGAAGAAGGATGGTAGATCCTATTATACGACAGGCACGATTCTATACATCACGCCTACGTAATTTATCCCAGGATGATTTACGATGTTTACGCGGCTGAAGTCACACGCGTCTGTTATTAATGTCGAACTTAAAACGCTGGATTATATTACTATACACCGTGCTGGAGGGATTCTTCGAAAACGAATCCATCCGATGAAAAATTTTCGCGTTCTAACGCGAACGTCGGGATGTAAACCCTGCGCCTCCTTGTTCCTTTTACGGTCGAACGGTTGCCTCATTGTTCACCATTTATCCTTCATTCGCCACGTATTTTCAACACGTTATGCAAATTCACGACGAGCGGTTGACCATCCGGTTTCTCGTGAATTAATAGTGAGTCCCGCCACGAAAGACAGAAGGAACGAATTAGGGGTGTCGAGATGAAACCGGAAGAACAAGAACGACCGGTTGTCCATTGAAAAGGGCAGTCCTGATCCATGAATGGCGTTAAATCACCAACAGAAGGCGTACGGTCGCCGTCCATCACAATTTTTCAACCTTGATTTGCATTCTATCGTGTATTATCAATTTCACGTCTCGTTTATCTAATTGCTGGTTGCCTCTCCACTCGACGCTCGATTCGTTATTATCACGGTATATTCTCGCTGAGAACAGGTATACCGTGATTTCTCACACTTGACATTACGTCAATACGGTTGTAGAAGGAACGACAAGGATCAGCTCCAGGAGACTGCTCCTTCTTGAACGATTCTCAGGAAAAATAGCGACGAATCGTCGGTCATTTTGTCTTCCTCTTACTATAACCTCTTTAACTTCTAAATCCACGATTTCGTCTTTATTATGGGATTTAATGTGGGGAGAGATGTTTAAGTTTTGATATGAATA